CCGCCCGCACGGCCCGGCCGGCTGCCGCCCGGGTGTGAGGCACGGCCTGTGCTCAGGCTCTAACAAGCCGGGGTTTTATGTAAGTAGGAGGGACCACAGCTTTGCTTTGTTTTCTCAGGATTTCATGAGACTCAGATCTGAAAGTGCTCGCCACGCATTCACGGTGCTTAGTGGGATGTGGCAGAGGTACCGTGCCAGGCTGCCACAGTCACCAGCACCAAGGCCACTAGGAGAGGAGCTACAAGCCACGTTACAACTCACATACAACCCATGCTTGCATTTGCTTGCTTGAAACACGCATGTCTAGTGATGAGGCTTGGGGGGTGGGGGGGTGGACTGTACGTCTAAGCCCAGCTGAGCATTTGCCGGCCACCTGGAATGACTCCTGGAATTCAAAACCATTCCCCACAGGGTGTCTGTGTTCTTCGCAAATTAAGCTATTTAATTTTAAAAGCGATTACACTGGAGAATATGAGAAAGTATTACTTAAATGCAGTGTATTAAAACGTGCAATGACAAAGCAAACACAGCGTAATGATGATCAAGAGCTAATTATCAGAAAATGCCTAAGAAATGAACGCTTCAGCCGAGTAGGTTATGGCTCACCAAGCCCTGCTTGAAGCTGGACCACAGCGCTATGGCTGCAAGTCTCCAGCCTGCGTATTTCCAGGCAGGCACACTGCCTAAGAACTTCTAAAATATTGTCCAACTCTTCGGGGCGGGAGGACGACTATCTGTAGTATCTACCTTGCTCCTTAAAGAGAATATATGTCATACAACTCCTTCTGCAGTCAGTTCCAAACTACAGTCCAAGGAAGGGAGCCAGGCGCCTTCACAGAAGCATGACCAGAATGACTGGGTGCCGTGTGTCTGCGGGTCTTGCCTTATACAGTGCTTTCTGCCCTTTACACCGGGCTCGAGACAGGTTCGAAATATTGTTCTCCCTGTCCAGTCATCAGGTGATAATGCAACTAAGGCTTTTCCTTGAAGACTCTGTTATCAGCTGGTCCTGGAGCAGATCTGCCTTATTTATAAACCATCTCAGGGAAACCAAGAGGAGAGACATTTCCAAGGGCTTCTGCTCACACCGACAGCCTGGCACCAATGACGCGCTTTCTAACTTTTCAAACAGACCCAACTTAACCTTTAACTAATTACCTGCCTGGGTCCGATCCTTTAAAACGCTATTCCAGAGCCCACACGTAGCCGATGTCCTGTATTTTCTGCTCACCGCCCAGGCTCGCTGCGGCTCAGTGTCTTGTCCCCAGGTAATTCAGGCCTGGGGGGAGGGTTCCTCCTTCAGACTGACTGGTACAGCTGCTCAGTAAGTGTAACTGCTCAGATTCCCAAAGAATTCTAAGTGGATGTTCCTCCACGGTGTCTCTTGTTCTCTCTAATCATCATCATTTTAAAATCTCATCCGCTGTTCGTTCCTTCTCAGGGTTTCCCCGGGTCCACAATTCTCTGGAAAGGGAGCAGATTCCTCATAAACAGCTGAAAAAACATCTAAAAAATCCTGAAGAACTAGAGTCGTTCTTTTCTTGGATATTTTTCTGAGTTATGAATGAAATCCTACAGTTTTTCATCTTAAAAGACTAAATATACATTCATTAATCCAATAGAAAAAATACTCACCAGTTAATATGACAGGGTTTCTTCATTTTTTTAATGAGAAATAACTTCAGTAACCCTTTTCTGATTCATTTTTTAGCTGATCTTCTGACGCAAGTGGAAGGAAAACCCAAATGCTGCTTCTTTAAGTTCAGCTCTAAAATACAATTCAATAAAGTGGTCAAGGCCCAGCTGTGGATCTATCTGAGACCCGTCAAGACGCCCACGACGGTGTTTGTGCAAATCCTGAGGCTCGTCAAGCCCATGAAAGACGGGACGAGGTACACGGGAATCCGATCCCTGAAACTCGACATGAGCCCAGGCGCTGGCATTTGGCAGAGCATCGATGTGAAGACCGTGTTGCAAAACTGGCTCAAACAACCCGAATCCAACTTGGGCATTGAAATCAAAGCTTTAGATGAGAATGGTCGTGATCTTGCGGTGACCTTCCCGGGACCGGGAGAGGATGGGCTGGTAAGTGATGAGAGAAAGCGGCATTCTCACAGCCTCGTTAGGTTTTCATCAGAATGGGAACAAGTCAGAGAGAAAAAGAGCCACCGGTTCCTAAGCTCACAGGCCAAGCACAGGTATCCTAGCCCTGTACCCAATAAAAGTGGGTCTCTAATTTCATGCCCCGTGGAACAGCCTCTTGATACTTTTACTTTGCATCAGGATTTTTTTTAAAAAGGTACTTAACTTCTTAGGCAGTTCTTTTGAATTGAGACTGGATATGCTCTACATGATTCTATGAATACAAATATGAAATCTTCATAGTGGATTTGAGTACATATCCAAGAAATTTAAACTCCCCCTCCCCTACCCTAGCGTGCAATGTGTTGAATCTTTCTGCCTTAATAAAGCATTAAAAAAGGAGCTTTATAAGTTATAATTAAAATAAAATGCTTTTTATTTATAGCAATGAACTAAGTACAATAGGTTTAGTCTTATACACTATGTTAAAGGTCCCTCATAAGTGTGTTCGTTATTTTGTAGGCTGTTGGTGCAAATGTATATGTAGATTACTTTGTGACTCACGCTAAGAAAATTTAATGCTCAGGCTAGTTACCCTCAGCTGCCTAGTTTATTTCTGAGCTGCCTTACCATTCAAGAGTAAATATTCAAGAGTTTACTTAGGGTATGCCAACTAATTTCATATCAGACCAAGGAGATGACAATCCCCTCTATATTATAAAAATTAATAAAAACAACTTTAAAACCTAGTGTAAATTTAGAGCTACTCAGTTTCTGTTTACTTATGCTTGTGTTTATAAAAACGGATTAATGTGACCGCATTTTCACTTCCATCTATTGACATAATTTACAACAAAAGATTATCCTTGCAAGCAATAAATGTTGCCTTTTTAATTTTCTTACTAAGTGGTATTAAGTAAGCCCTACTTTAATGAAAACATATTCTTAAAGAAAATATTCAGTTTTCCAAATGACCTATTTTTCTTTAAATATGCTACATAAAATGTTACTGACTCTCAAAATGATATTACTGTTTTTATAATCTTAAATAACAATGACTGGTAGGTCTTGATTTTGGTATAGGATAAGAATCATTATTCATTATTTGAGAAAGTGTTCTTTTTAGAAGTAGCATTTTAATGATCAGAGTTGGTGATGTGATAGATGTTAGTTATTATTAAACAGGTGGTTAATATGACATATTCCTTAGAGTTTTTCATGTAGAAAGAAAAAGTCTCAAATGTATGAAAAGATTGGTGCGGGGGAAGGGTTAGAAAATGATTGTTTAAATATCTGATTAGAAACATCTTTCGGTGAAAGAATGAAGGAAATGTTATTGGACCTTTTTCTGCATCTGTCCCTCCTTCTCATAGAGTTTCTCTTTCTAACCCACTGATACCACCTCCTTCACCACCCTCCCTTCCCTCCCCATTCCAATGCACACACCCCCATTCCAGTGCTGGGGGTGACTGCTCGGTTCTGCTTTCAGACCCACATCCCCTGAACGGAGCATGGGGGAGTATGCCTGCCTCCCCAGGAGTCCGCAGACAGAGCCCACATATTTGATCAACAAGAGAGAAGAGAGG